TTTTTTTTTTTTTACTTTTTGGAAAAAAATGGCAGGGGCAAAAATATCCAAAGGGGGCGGTAAATAGTAACAACCGTTTAAAAACTATGATATATTCAGAATTGTTTTATTAAATTTTTCCCAAATAGTCAGAGAACAAAGGAAAAAAAACTGTTTGCTTCTTCGACATTCCAATATTTCTCAATTTCCGGTAATACCCCTCACTCGCCGGCACCGGAGTTTATATAAGGAATCAGAGAACCGAGTCGGTGAACACAACAGAAAATTATGCTACGATTTCACAAATTATCACGGCGCTACCTCCGTCTCCGCCTCCCGTTCCCCCGCCGCGTCTCTTCCTCCTCCTCCTCCGCTGGAAACACAGATATTCCCTCCGAAACCCTCGCCAATCACAAAAATTCTCAGCATGCCCCTCTCCCGCCCGCCCTCCACCACCATCCTGTGCCTCTCACCTCCTCCCCCCTTTCGAAGACCTCCTTAATCGCCGCCTTGTCTGCCGCCTCCGCCACCGTCCTCGGCGCCTACACCCTCGCGCAGTCCGAGGATTCTCAGCACCGCGCCAAGCTGGCGTCGATTTATTCGGAGGTGGATGTCGCCATCGAGAGATCCAACGAATCGGTTAACAGAATCCTGAACAGGATGAGGCAGACGGGCGTGGCGGCATCCGTCTTGTGGCAGTCGTTGAGGTCTGTACTCTCGTCGGCAAACCACGAGGTCAGGGCGGGGTTCGAGCTGAGGGTTGCGGCGCTGCTGGCTGACATTGTGGCGGCTAGCGACAGCCGTAGAGCGGCTATTGTCAGCGCGGGCGGTGGTGCGGTGGTTGATTGGTTGTTGGAAACTGTTGCGGTGCCCAAGGATGGTAATGGCACACAGGCCGAGTCTGCTAGGGCGCTGGCGTACTTAATTGCGGATCCCAATGTGTGCGAGGTGGTTTTCGGGAGGCCCCGAGCTGTGCCTAATTTGTTGAGGTTCATTTTCTCAGCTCAACCTAAGCGGTCAAAGAAAGTGAGCATATTTTGTTTTCAGTTTCTATCTACTATCCTGTTCTGTTTGAGTGCCTGCTGGTTGATCCTATGAAAGATAATGGTTCTATTTATTGCATGTAGGATGTTGTTTTAAGTGGCTAGCAGTGCCACATTTTTAACTGCTGTTTCTTGACATTGGGATAAATTGATCATTCATGATTGATCTAATGCTGATTTCTGTTAACATTTGAAAGTTTTATGGTACAATTTGTGAATTTCAAAATGAAAAAGACCACTGATTGTGTTTTTTCTTTTTTTTTTTTTCCTTCAAGTATCCAGCAAGATTACTTGGATATATTTCAAATCTCATTTTGTTGGGTTTCTCCCTCTGCTTTTAGCTTTGTTTTAATGAGTATCTAGTACTAACTGGAGACTTGTTCCATTTATTGAAATGCATCTGCTCCGTGCAATATATTTTGCTATTGTTGGTTATATTGTGTTGGAAAAGGTTGGATATTGTTTTCCAGGATTCTATAGGGGGATAACAGAGCGTTCTTTTAGAAGTTATAACTTTAATGATTGTGCATACCAGTTCCCTTTGATGTTGACATTCTGTATTTCTGTGGAAGCAGGCAAAGCAAAGTTCATTCCATGTTTCTGATAAAGGCAAGAGTATGCTTGTTGCAGCAGTTATGGATGTTGTCACTTCTAATTGTGAAAGCGTAGAAAAATTATCATTTAGTCCTTTGCTACCGAAAGATGCTGAAATGAGAGATATTGCAGCAGCAATAGCAGTAATTGAAGAGGGTGGAATGCAGTGGGATGAGCAGCATGGGGATGAAGATGATGATGGTGGAAAAGGAATGAAGGGTATTGGAATCAAGGTTCTCGGTGGTGCCACAGTTTTGGGGTTCTCGGAAACTGGTGGATATGCTGATGTAGATCATTCTGATTCTTATGATACCAGGATGATAAGTAATGCATCAAAGAATTTATTATTTAGCAGGATGAGTGAAAGTTCCCATGCACAATTAAAGTTGCATTCTGCAGTAGTTCCGGGCCTTTGGGATGATTTGGATTCCGAACATGTAGCGATTCCATTTGCTGCATGGGCATTGGCTAATTGGGCCATGGCGTCTGAAGTTAATCGCGCGCACATACAAGAACTAGATCGTGATGGGCATGCAGTTATGAGTGCATTAGTGGCACCTGAGAGATCAGTAAAGTGGCATGGGAGTTGGTTGGCGCAGTTGCTTTTGGAGGACCGAAATCTGCCTTTAAATAATTCTGTTTCAGATTGGAGTTCTAGTCTTCTTTCTACTATTTCACAAGCTAGCAAAACTCAGGATATACCGCTGGCTCAACTGGCTCTGTCTGCTTTACTGGTTTCTATTGACAGAAGCCCTGAAGCACAGGAAGTAGTAATGGATAAAGGCCTCCATTCGATGAGAGAAGCATCTAAACAAATGGCAAATCAGAAAGCGATTCAAGAGTCATTGGCAAAAGCTTTAGAACTAATCAGTTCCAGGGAACTGCACATGTCTCTTGAAGAGAGTCAAAAATGGTCAGCAATTCTACTTTCTTGGGTATTTGGGAAAGTCTCTTCGGACGCAATCCGTTCATCAGCTATAAATATTCTTTCGCGCATTCTTGAAGATTATGGGCCGTCATCTGTCCCAATTTCTCAAGGATGGCTGACTATATTGCTAACAGATGCTCTCAGCTGTAGGAAAGCAACATTGGCAAAAGTAAGTGCTCAGCTCACAAGTGATAAAGTAAAGGTCAGTTGGTGAATATAGTAATTCATCTTTAAATTATTCAATTGCAATGATTCCAATTGCGATCCATGCATACATTCTTTTGGTCTTTCCATGTGGTTTAATGAAAATTATTTTCTGCAGACACAAATTGATCTGTCAAATGTTGTTTCTGCAACCCAGACTGCGAATCAGTTGGCAACTGCTGTTGTTAATTTAGCAGGAGCGCAACTAGGGACGGCCATTGACAGTGCCGATGCATTTCCACTGGCCGACTTGCTGTCTCTTGAACCCTTTGTGGGATTATTCAAAAATCTAAAGAAGGATAAAACACTGAAAATTACAGCAGCAGATTCTGCAAATGCCACTCTAAAAGGCATAAAAGCACTAACAGAAATTTGTGCTGATGATCCTTCGTGTCTAGACAAGATAGCGGACTTTGGAGTGCTATGTTTACTCAGACGATTTTTGTTGGACGATGATTATGAACAACTAGCTGCAATTGAAGCATATGATGCATCGAGGGCTATGGAGGCTCAAGAGAAAGTATCATCAACTTCTGGTGATTCTTCGGTAGATGCTACTCACGATCCTTCAAATTTACGGGTACCGGCTACTGCTCACGTCCGGAGGCATGCCGCACGTCTGCTCACTGTTCTTTCTGTTCTTCCAAAAGTCCAGAAAGCCATTGTTGCGGACAAATCTTGGTATAAATGGCTTGAGGAATGTGCCAGAGGGCAAATTCCTGGTTGCAATGATCTTAAAATTCAGAGTTATGCCAGGGCAACATTATTGAATGCATTTTGCAGTTACCTTGCCGATTGGAAGTCTGAAAGTGATGGTGCAGCTGACAGCCGCTCCTTGAACAAAAAACAGCACTGCCCACATTTTTCTGACATGATTTTTTTGATTAATCCTGGGTTGTCTCATTGGAAGTGCACAGAACAGAGAACGTCAAACTCTAGTGATAAATCTACTGGTAGTGATGATTCTGCTGAGGTGGCGAATGGGAATTTGTCAAGAACCATGGAGGATGGTAATAATCCTCCTGCTTCTACCTCTGAATCTGAAAGCTTCTCGAATTCGGAGTTTCCTCCATTGGATGTTGTTTTTGTCCATGGCTTGCGTGGGGGTCCCTTCAAAACTTGGCGGTTGTCTGAGGACAAGTCGTCAACAAAATCCGGCCTCGTTGAGAAGATTGATGAAGAGGCTGGAAAGCAAGGGACATTTTGGCCAGGAGAATGGCTAGCAGCCGACTTTTCTCATGCTCGCTTGTTTAGTCTCAAATACAAGGTATATTAGTCCAGATTTATTGGCATATTAACAATTTACCATTAAATAATCATGTGCATGTGAAGCATCAAATGGGAAGAATGAAAATCAGTGTTATCAAATGGTGGCCATGGCGAATTTTTGACAATCCGCCATGCAAAATTTGTGAATGATGGTGGTCATGGCGGCGCCATAGGCCGCCATGGTGGAATTTTGGCAAACCGCCATGTACCGCCATCCGCCATTAATAATGCTTATGAAGATGCTATTTTTGCCTTTTCTTTTTGGTAATTCTGATTACTTGTTATTTGAAACTGCAGACAAATCTTACACAGTGGTCTGGGGCCAGCCTACCTCTTCAGGTGTGTATCTGTTTTGACCATCCGTAGTATTTCACAATTTTCTTTCCATGTACAACAGTTACTTATTTGGACTTTCACAATTTTTCCTTTTCATTTTCCTTATTGTTTTATAAGTTTCCATGTCTAGATTGTGTGTGATTGATTACAGTATAGTGTACTCACCGTTGACTGTTCTCTGTGCCTAGTTTCTTAGAGTTGTAACTCACAGTCCAAATTTTAGTTTTACTCAAACACAGTTATCCATGATTGCGACCTAAGGTACTTGTGGTTTTGGAAGAGCTGTAATTTCCATTTTACATAGTGTAGGCCAGGCAAGTACACATGTTTCTGTTGTATACTCCGCATGAACTTACTAAAAACAGTTCTGCGTGAAGCAATGCTGTGTGTGTTTTATTGTTCTGAATGAGTTCAGTTTCTTGTAACACTAAAGCAAAAAGAAGTTATAGGCCATCTCCTGGAAATCTGTACAAACATGGAATCCTTTTATCTCGTATCTATTCTTTTATGGTTCTTTTATATTTTAGGACTTACTGGAGATATAGCTTTCATTCTTACTGTATATTTATCTCATGTATTACTTATAT